TAACACTACTGACCTATCACCTTACATCAAGGTATTCTTTTTGTAAATATCCAGTAATCTCTGTGAATATTTGCAGCACATTGTTCTCCGAAAAATAGAAATTCTATTACAATTCTGTTTTCTATGTGTGATATGGCTGTAAGCCATATCACACATAGAAACATCTTAATGATGCTAAACAACTTAATGATGCGGTATTAAATGTAAATCACAGGGATTATATGCGATTAACAAATTCTCATGCAGCTAATCGAAAATCATCGATAAAATAATTCTTTTCAGGAAGAATGCTTTTATCACCACAACTTAGAGAACGGCATATGTTAACTGATAAGTAATTCTAAAAAGAAAAAGTATACAGAATTCAAACGATTACTCCTGGTATTTCTGTTTCGATCACTTTCACACCGACGTAACGTAGTTTCCCTACGCCTTTTCAATAAATATTTTATGGTAATTGTTTTGATGAGATTTCCTCTTTGGTACCTCGACTTTTCGGAATTTAAGAGCAGTACTAGAGTGGATGTGCGGCGTGGTGCAGTGAATATCGGCTAGGAATGAGAAATCGGAGTTCAAATTCCAGTCGGATCCGTTACATTCACTTACGCGCAAATATCTTTGGGAAAGGCATGAAACCATCTCTCCCCCAGCTGTGCCTTAAATAGCAGGACAAACTGGGTCCTATAGCCTTAATTGGCAATCAGTCTACCACAAAAAGAAACAGCAACCAACCTACTGTGAGAAAAAAACAAACTTTGCCTCGTCAGTCATGAATCGAAAGAGACATGATCACCCAAGCGTGTATCACGTAAGGCACTTAACTGACTGACTGTTGTGGCAGATAGGTCTCATCATTTTACAGTTTAAACTGCTAGATGTAACCGTAATTCCTATGCTAATAGTTTCTTTTTCTCGTACTTCTCGCTTGTAGAACTCTCAGCTTCTTGCTTTCCAGTCAACGTTGATCAGTCGTTATCTTCTATCTTCTTCTTTTATTATTCTCTCTCATTAATAATGTTTTTCTTTTTCTCGTATTCTTTCGCACTCAGTAACCTCTTGCGTCTTAGTGGCTTTATCATCTTACTTAGAGTGAAATAAAAAATTATTTCATGAGTTTTTTTTTTCTTCATAATTAGCGCCAAAAAGCATTCGATAATTTCATGAAGTATTCGTATTAATATATCCATCTTTGTTATTTTAGACACTATTAAATTTACGAGTCTAACAGGAATCTTTGATGCTCTGCTTGGATATGTGAATCGCTTGGATTAGAGTTTTGGTGAAAGTTAAAGAAATACGAAAGAAATCTTTCGTAGAAGTTCCGAGAGCGCATCAGCCAAAAGACAGTAAACAAAAAGATGAAGATACTTTTTTAATGAATTCATAGTAAATTCTGGTTTTCACACAACAACAACTGATGAGTACTGGTCAACTTAGAAGTGTAGCAAATCTCACTGCCTTTAAGAGAAATAATCTAAGTCGTCGGTTGCATGTGTTCCATGGCCGGCTCAATGGCTTAAGCCAGGGGCTGAAAATGAGTCTATAACACAAACTTGCCTTGAGGAAGAACTATGGCGCTGACCTTTGGAATCACTATAGGTCATCCGAGATAAATTTAGACTCAAAATGTCTAATTCTGGCCTAACTTCAAAAAGGTTATCGACAACACATTGCCAGCCAGCGACCTAATTATAGGCATCGATATAAACATTTCGTTATTTATAAAAAAGAAAAAAAAATAATAATAATACTGATGATACTAATATCGAAGTGGTTTGCAGCGCAGAAAATGAAATCGAGAAGCCGAGTGAGGTAATCTACGTTCATTTCGCACTAATAGCCTTGGAAAAGTTGTGAATAAGAATAAAGGATGCAACTGACAGTGAAAAAAATATTATCAGTTAAAAAGGATTTACAGTAATCCTGAAAATTAATAGATTGTTTTGAAAAGTTTTTTTTTGTTTTTTTTTCTCGGAATTTTTGTGTTTTTTCTTTATTTATTTTTTGAATTGAAAAAAATTCAATTGTTGGTTTCGTATTTGATATTTTTTATATAAATATCGAAAAATGGAACTTGGTGGGAATTACCTGGAAGCAACCATTTTGATAGAATAAACATTCCTAAAACAACTTAAAACTTGTAAAAAACTTGTAAACCTTTAAAAAAAACGAACAAACAATTGATATAAAGTTTGGAAAATTCAGGCACAAATGTATCTGAAAAAATAGTATATTCTAGAAGAGGACAATTTTTTTTTTGACATTTATTTCAGAAAGTGAAAATTATATATTTTCTAAACTCTTTACGTGTAAACTGTTACAAACATTTTGCTAAATTTCAATTTTGATAATTATAACCTGCAGCTAAAAAATATTTAAAAAATGTATCTGATAATATTAAAATATTCTATTTCGAGTTTGAGTAAATCATTATTTATCCAATATAAATAGCATGACTCACGCAGTTTGGTTTTATTATGCACAACCATCGGTTGTTCAGAATATATTCAATATCACTGCTGAAATGTTCAGCTGTTCACCAATTGCTGTATCAAAGCATTTTCACTGGAAGGGAAAAGTATGGTAGGAAAAAAGTCCACCAGCAAGAGGCAGTCGTCTTAAGGCTGCTTGACAGGAGTGAACAAAGCCAATTCAAGGACTGGGTAGGGTGGGGTTCATATGTAGTGGACTGAAGCTGGACTCAGTGCCTCAAGAGCCACCAGATAAAGACTTGTCTAAGTCTGGGTTACAAGAGTCGCATTTCTGGTGGTATGAAACCACTCCTGAACCATAGAAACCATTTTAGAAGCATCTTACATACTTACAAAAATAAATATACTGATTAATAAATAAACGGGGCGTCTACTCAAATACGAGTATCCAAATAACGTTCAAAGTGATATAATGTCGGATTAATAAATAAAAAAAAATTACTCCTTTAGAAAATCGCTTTGTTTAAGGTTAAATAAAAAGAGAGCAGATATAAAAATTTAGGGAGTCTATGAGGAGAAAGATTTCGTTTAAAGGTTAAAATATAGGGTCACTTTTCTGTGAAAAGTAGAGTGAATGCATAGTTAAAAACCGGTTTTTAAAATAAAAATCCTGGGAATTTTTACAAACACCCATATATATATATATATATATATATATATATATATAACAACTGTATGCATGTAAGTATTAGTTGGCACGTGTTTTGTTGAAGATATTTCCATAGTTAATTGTATTTAATTAAATTTATTTCTATGTTTCCTAACCAAAGATGTATAATAAAAAAAAGTTTAATACAGTGTACTTGTTTTTGCTTTTCTTTGCGTAAACATGCTATCCTTTCCAGACCAGGCCCAAAATTAAGTACTGTTGTCATATTTGTGTGGGAGCTGCCCAGACCGCACTATCCAGCCTCGATAGAGTTCAAAAGATTCTCTGAGTCTTTGTGGATGACGAATTATTTTCCAACCTCTCTCTCTCTCTCACAGGTGGGATATGGTAAGCCTCTCGCTGCTCTATCGCTATTTTCACGGAAAGTGCTCAGACGAACTATATTCCTTGGTTCCGCTAGGTCTAACCTTCACGGCAAGGATCCGCCATGCGACGCACATTGTTGTAAACCATCTACATTCCCTCAGCGCTGAGGAGTAAGTAAGTTTTTTTTTCCCGCCAACCACTGCTCTGTGAAACAGACTCCCAAGAGGATATTTCCCCAATGACTATAATCTTAACTTGTTCAAGTCTAGAGTTAACCGTTATTTTTCCTTCTTGTCTGTACAAACTGCCTCCTAACTTAACCTTCTATCTCAAGTGACCCCCGGGCCTTGTACAGGGTGAACCTTACTGTAAAAAAAAAATAATTGTCAGGGCTTTACATTTCCTCGCTTAAATAATAATGCGATTGTTAAAAGTAGTCATAGGAATAGAAAAACCAGTGATATTTATAATATATCATACAAATTAATTTTAGATATTTACTAACGTTACTAATATTAGCAGTCTGTCTGTGGATGACAATACACACAAACACACACACACACACACACACACACACACACATATATATATATATATATATATATATATATATATATATATATATATATAAGCTTTATAATATTGCTGTCACATATAGTCCAGTGCCCCTGCTATTTACCTTGAGCTCCTTGATAAAATCTAAAGAAAAATCAGCAATTTTAACGGTCCTGATCTGTCGCCCCCGGATTCAGTCACTTTCCCACCGCCATAAGGTTACCCATCTGTGTCTGTTCTATAAATACTTTCATGGTAATTGTTCGAATGAGCTTTCCATTATGGTACCCAGACTTTATGAATTTAACCGCAGTACAAGATTGGTAACAGGGTCTTATCAATTTACAGTTGAATTGGCCAGATGTATCAGTAAGTTTTATGCTGACATTTTTTTTCGTACTTCTCGCTTGTGGAACTCTCTTCTGGTTCCATGCTTTCCCGCCAAATTTGATCTTCAAAAATCGAAATACAATGTCACTCGTTATCTACTCTCTTTCTGATTACTCTACTACTGTTCTCGCTCCTTCATAATGTTTTCTGTTTTCTAATTCTTTCACACTCAGTAACCCCTTGTGCCTTAGTGGTTTTTCTGCCTTGCATAGAGTGAAGCCGATTTTTAAAAAAAATGTGTTTGTGTGTAGAGACTATTCACACAGACAATTACCATTAAAGATCAGAAATTGATAACATCAAGCGCCGAATGACAAATTTAGCAAAGATAATTTGAGTCGATGTCGCATCTCATCAATACAAAACCATCATTTTTGTCTTTGAATGTTCGCTCTTAAAGAAAACGTATTACCCAATGACTGGATCTCAGAGTAGCTAATCTATTCAACCGCTTACAAAGATTTCAAAAAGATTAAAAAATCGTAATAGATAAAGACGTAGCGATAAACGGGTAGGATATTTTACTTTATTTTTTCTTATTAACAAAAATATATACAGTTGAGTGTCTATAAAAACAAAAGGCGAATATGAACAGAGGAGGTAACAGAGAGGAGGTTATAGAAGGTATAATAACCGATTAAGAATGAGGAAACGTCAAAAACTTGGCTTTTCTTCTTCCAATAGTGTGCAAAGGTCGGTAGCCAATCAACGTAGAGAATGACTTTTAAATCAGCAATGAAATAAAACAGAAAATTGGCTGGAGAGTGGAGTTGGTAAGGGAGAGAACTGAGAGGAAAACAAGAGGAAGGAAAGAAGGTGGGGTAGATAGAGAAACAATAAAGCAACCAGAATAAGACTTAACGAGACAAACTAACAAGACAATTATTATTGAACAAGGGATGGAGCGGGTGGCTAGAAAGACAAGCGGACATGAAATGTAAGAGCCACAATAATAACTACAATAGCAAGAACAATGATAACAGCAACACTAATAATAATAATAATAGTGATAAAGTCGGCAGCAGTCAAAAATAGAAAAGTAGGGAAAACGCTGATTGATAGAATTTAATCGTTATGAGAAATCAGTCGACAGCAGTTCGACACCGACCAAACACCTCTACAACCCCAAGGCGATCAAATCCTTTATTTGTCAACCTCTCCATCCACCACGTTTGTTTTTCTTCGAGTTTATATTTGTCTGCTTTCATTTTTCCTTCTTTCTTTTTTTTCTGTTTTGCCCTCTCTTCTTGCTTACTTTCTTTATTTTGCCTGTTTTATCTTCTTTCTTTGTTTTACCTTCTTCTTTCGTTCATTCTTTATTTATTTCTTTTGTCTCTTTTGTCTTTTCTGTTCTCTTTTGTCCTCTTCCTTTTTCTTTTGTTTTAACTTCTTTTCTCTTTTTTACCTCATTCTTCTTTTTTTGTTTTCTACCACTTTTTTTAAATGTTTTATCTACTTCTTCATTTCACATTTATCTACTTATTTTTCTTCTTTTCTGTTTTACCTACTTTTTCTTCTTCTCCATTTATTCTGTTTTATCTAATTCTTCTTCCTCGATTCTGTTTACCCATTGCTTCTTCTTTTCTGTTTTACCTAAATTTTCATCTTCTCACTCTATTCTGTTTTACCTCCTTCTTTTTCATCTTCCTTCTCTTTTCTGTTTTGCCTACTTCGTCTTTTCTGTTTTCTTTTTCTTCTTCCTATATTTGTTTTTTTTTCTCCTCCTCCTACTTCTATTCTGTTTTACCTTCTTCTTACCTTCATTTCTTGTTGTTGTTGTTGCTGTCGTTTTTCTTCTTCTTCTTCTCTTCCTCCTCCTCCCTGCATTCTGTTTTATCTACTTCTTTTGTTTTTAACTACTTCTTCTTCCTCTATTCTGATTTATCTTCTCCTTCTTTTCTGTTTTAATTGCTACTTCTTCCTCTTCTTCCTCTTCTCCATCTATTCTATTTTACCTACTTCTTCTATTCTGTTTTTCCTACTTATTCTTCTTCTTCATCTCTTTTGTTTTTCCCATTTCTTCTACTACTAAGAAAAGCTAATACTTCTGCTTCTTCTTCGTTTTTTCTTTCCTTTATCTATATTTTCTTTCTTTTCATCTTCATAAACCTAGATTATCGTTTTTTTCCCTTTTTCCCGTATATTGGTAAGGTTTCTGGCCGATATTATTTCGTCTACAACCTGAAAAAGGTGAGGATCTGTCAAGATAGAAACTCATAGTAATGAACTAGATGAAAAAAGAAAGAAATATTTAATCGTACAAAATGATTAATTTATAGTTAGACAATTGAACAAGCTAATGGAACTGTAAGTAAGTGATAAGAGAAAAGTGATAGAAAAATAAGAAAAAAGAAACAATGGGATAGTGCAAGAAAGAAAAAAAAAAGGATTTAACGAATAAAAATTACAGAAAAAAATGAAGAAAAAAGAAGGGAGCGAAAGAAGGATGGAAGAAAAATGTTAGCCAACGGAAGGAAAAAAATAAGCAAGGATGATTAAAAGAAAAACAAAGGTTCAATATAAAACCTGTAACTGGAAATAATTAGTCGTGTAATGCTTAATTTCAGTTCCGGTCCTAGACAGGAAGTGAGTATCAGTTAACACTCTTCGATATCATCGCTGCCAACAGATTTGTTACAGCCCCGCCATTAGCTTAATGATCTCTCGGCTGTAGATTAAGATTTGTTTTGTTAAAACAAGAAATGAATAGAGCGATATAGTGAAATGAAACGAACATCTAAAGGAAAAAGGAAAATAATTAAGTTTTAAAACACAAGGAGAAAAAGATAAAGTAATTTTGAAAACGAAATCATCTATCGATTGATTTTCTACGGCTTATCAACCCTTTGCAGGTTATTTAAAGCCAGAAAGTATTTGTTTATATTGTAAGATATTTTTTGGAGATAACAATGGTATAGTGATACAAGTCTTAATAATTAACCAACAGGTAGGAAGAGACGAGGTGGATTCATACCTTTCCCAAGGGTACTTGCGCGTAAGGGAATAAAACGAATCCAAATGGAATTGGAACTCGCCTCTCTGATTAACAAGTCGGAACATATTATCGATTGCACCACCTGCATATTCAAGCTTACAGCAACTGGTATTCCCAAGAGGTCACCCATCTTGGTGCTGACCAGGATTGACGTTGCTTAACTTCGGTGATCGTACGGGAACTAGTGCTTAAACGTGATGTGGCCGTAAGATCGATCGATCGATCTATCTATCTTAATAATAATAAATTAGCTTAACAAAGTTGTGAAAAAGGAAGTGATCATCTGTCGTGGTTGTTGTAGTAGAAAAGAACAATTGTTTTTTTTTAAAATAATGCTCACTCAGTACAAGAGCCACACAAAGTAGAAGGTTACTGTGTGGACTTATATTAGCGTAGGAAGGAACAAGCGTTAAGAGTATAGAGCTGAAGCACACCTTAGAAGGAACCGGAAAACCCAATCCTATCCAGGAAACAAGGGATAAACTACTGTTCTAAAGACCGGTAGGAGTGTGGCTTTTCTAGGGTTGATAGCAGCCCTTGCTATATTCGGACGTACAATGGGAAGAGAAAGCTAAATTGAACTATTCACAAGTTTTTTGTATTTTAAATAGTATGAGTTGAACAAGAGACAATATTCCTTTATTCTAGTTCAATTAATCTATTGCGTATTGGGATTCCCCACCATCCTGTTCCAAAGAACTAAGTGATCGGAAAACAAGAGAAGGAAAAACTGCGCATGAATTGGTCTTTTCTTTTACAAACACTGACCCAATGAATAAAGTGACATGTGATCCAATCATCATCAGCACAAGCGATTTATTTTTAGTGACATAATTTCTAGACGTGTACTTAGTTTGTCACAAGTCCAATCTTCCTTTATTCGCGGTATGTTACTCGTACAACTTTTGGTCCTGCCAACTAATATTGTTTTGGTCAAACCATGTTGCTGAATATACAGAGTGTCCCAAAATATTTGACATCATTTTAAAGCAACTATCTTGAAAACTACTAAGTCTAGCTCAATGAAATTGAACAGTTTAGGTGTTGAAAATCATAAGTTTATTATGGGACCGATTTCATAACAGTTCAATATGTGAACCGCCTGTGACACGGCAGATGTCAAGTTGGTAGTTAAGCTCTTGCCAAACACGCCGTAGCATGTCTGCGGTAACATTATACAGTGCGAAAGTGATTTTCTGCTTGAGTTCATCAATGCTAGCAGGAAGAGGAGGGACATAGACCAGTCCCTTCATATATCCCCATAAAAAGAAATCACACAGTGACAGGTCCGGTGACCGTGGTGGCCATTTCATCAAAAAACTGTCTTCATCACCACCACGCCTTTCCATCTCCCTGGCAGATTCTCATTGAGATAAAAAAAAAAAATAAAACATTAAATATAAAATCTTGATCTGTTTCTATACATTCTGTGAAAAATTGAGGTTATTTCAATAAGAATTATCAAAATTAATGGCTTACGAAATGATGTCAATTTTTTGGGGACATCCTGTATTACACTACACATTGGTCTCTGTCTGTCTCTCTTTCTCTCTCTCTCTCTCTGTGTCCGTAATTGCTCTTCAAACTACGGACAAATCTCAACAACACTCATTGTGGTGGCAGACAAGAAGGATCTTTTAACTTAACAGATCAGTATAACACATTCTAACCTCGAAACTAGTACATTGGCCAACTTGTAAAATCTGCATTACCTACACAATTGATTTATTTTCGTAGTTACTTAATCTGGTTTGTGTATAAGAGATAAGAAATAAGACTAAAAGAATTTTCTTATTAACGATGTGAACTCTTGCACTAATCACTTCATTAAGAGAGGCGAAGATATTTACTGCAGGCGATTGTTTACTCTTGTGACGAACGCAAAAATCGAACGCACAACCCCTCGCCTTTGGGCATACACATAGTTTGACACCTACTTTGAACTAATTTGTGTACAATCAATAAGTAGCCTAATTTTCCTGAAAGATATCCTGAAAACGTGTCAACTCTTAAACCCATATACACACATTATATATATATATATATATATATATATATATATATATATATATATATATATATATATAAAGGAAATCTTAGATTGACTATCTTTTTTAACTACCCATCTAATTTTCTCTTTTTTACTCTTTTCTCTAAAACGTGTGATCACATAACGTAAAAAGAAAGCTTCAATAGGTTTTCTGTTCATACATTATATTTATTTTTATTCTTTTAAAGAAGGCATTACTTCAAAAAAATCTTCACGATTAACAGACCTGCAATGTCACTAAAATCTCAACACGTGTACGATCAGTAAATCCGTAGCCTGACACAGTTATTAGCTGGATTTTAATAAGCCATTTCATTTCAGCTGCCTAATGTTCGAACTTGTTGATCTATGAAGAAGTGTTGGGTTAAGAATGAGATTATGTTGAAAATAAATATTTATTGAATATGATAACAGAAATTATTATTTAATGTTCGAACTTGTCAATATATGAAGAACCGTTGGGTTAATTCGGTTGACAAAGAAGGAGATTATGTTGAAAATAAATATTTATTGAATAAGATAAAATCAATGATTTTATCATTAACCTAAGGAATTACTAATGTACCTACGAATCCAGGTACACAACGCACAAGTATATTACAACATCTTTTTCTTGTTTTTGATTTTTCTCTTCACTCATTAAAGCCCATTGTAAAATTCACCAGTTTAAAAAGGAAAAAAAAATCCGTAATTAATTATAGGTGTATAAAAAAGTTTATGAAAAAGAAAGTCCGGTATTATAGGTTTATAAAAAAAAGTCCGGAATTAATTATAGGTTTATAAAAAAAAAAAAAAGGCAGAAATTAATTTTAGTTTTATAAAAAAAGGCCGAAATAAATTTTAGGCTTATAAAAAAAGGCCGGTATTAATTACAGGTTTATAATAAAATCCCGTATTAACACTTTCGCTACTGCATTGTTATAACATTGCTGCCTCCCTGTGCTGGACTATTTTGAGAAAAATAAGAAATTACCATTTACTAGAAATAAGTGACACTGACGTCAACTTCTCATTGGTACCCTCATTTTGTTTTCAATTAGATACTCTGTTATACAAGTTAGCTAAACGACACCTCAACACACAACATAATGAAAATAAATCACAAAATATACCTTATTGTACGCCTACGCTGGTTTTGTAACAGCACTTTGCGCGAGGAATTTCATTACACAAGCGCTGGGTATCTTGAAAAACGTATATATATGTCGACAGCAGGCAATGTAATTTTCGTACAGATTTAAGTAAGTACGTCTACAGCAGCAGAAGTGTTAATTATAGGTTTTTATCTATAATAGATTAATGTCATCTCTCTCAAAATTAGGTATAATGGATTAAAATGCTGTTTAAAATCAACGGTTGAGCGACAGTATATTCGATCTCAGAATATACAATTTTTCGCGCTCTTTCTACATAAATCATCACATATTTATATTATCTAAATTATATACTGTGAAAATTCATATAGGTGGTGCTATCCTAGGGTTTAGTGAATTCGAACAGTGTACATGAAACAAATGTAGTTTTGCCATGCAAACATATACGAACAGTACTTCGAGTAAAAATTATGTATTTATTTTTTATGCTCAATGTCTTTAATTGCCTCTAAACAGTTACCTTCCTCATATATACACAGAGTTAGAACGAAGACATCAACACAATCCACGGGCCATCCTAGAAAATAAATTATAAAATAAAATACTCAGCTGTTTTGTGATCTAAACTTTCCAAGGAAAAGAAAGCCAGTTATGTCAAAGAAGTTGCAGCAGTGGATTACTAAAGGAAGACAAACAAAATCGAGACAAAAAACTGAAAAGTATCAGGAAATTAACTTTGATATGCGGAAAATGGAATAAGAAAGTTGCCTTTAACAACTGATCCACTTTATGTCCAAGAAAACTATCCATAGTATGTTGTTGTGGGGTGCGCGATGTTACTGAGGAGGTAGTTGGAGAATTGTCATTTAATCTTCAATGGTATCAGAAAAACCCAGCTCATATGAATATACAAGTAAATAAAAAAAATCATCTATATATATATATATATATATATATATATATATATATATATATATATATATAAGACCAAGAAGGAATTACAAAGCAAAATATAATATTTAGCCATTAAATCAAATTTCTGGAAGTGGATCGAGCAATGAACTTTTCATTACTCCATGACAAATATATATATATATATATATATATATATATATATATAAGTGAACATTGAAGTCAACACTCAGAGACGACAAACTGTTTCATGCTAGACGCAATCGTCATGCCGCGAATATTGGATTTTTCTTCGACTATTTATATATATGTGTCAGTGGTGCATTGTGGGTAATCTATTCTGGCGGTTATTTTTGCGGGAGTGGCAGGGGAGCCATTCCCACAAAAATACATTCGCGGCCTGACGATTGCGTCTGGCATGAAAGCCCTCGCCTCTGAGTGTTGACTTCAATGTTCCCTTTTATATTTATATTTACGTACGCTCTATCTCTGAAATTGAGCACTTTATCCCGTAAATATAGTACACCATAAAACTATATTTCTTCATACATATATACATAAGTTCAAATTCCAGTCGGATTAATTACATTCCCTTACGTGCTAATAATCTAGAGAAAGGTATGACTCTTCTTCTTCTTCTTTTTCTTCTCTCCCCCCTGCTATAGTTCTTTTGCAATTGTGCTCTGAATCTTGAATGTGTTTTTCTTATTTTCAGCTTCTCATCATATTAGATCTTACTTTTAAAATTTGAGAAGATATTTATTATTATTTAAAGTCATATAATCAAAATAGAATAACTTAATATAAAATATAATATTCCATATTCAATGTGGAAACTGCAAGAAGTTTGAAGCAAACAGTGTGTGTGTGTCTATTAGCGTAGTCATATACAGGGTCAAGTGTGAAAAGAAAAAAAGGTTTGTGGTTGTTATATACCGTACCTATGAACACTAATAGACATGTCCCAATCCTCATAAATACGTTGGACACTATTGTAAGTGGGGGATAATATGCTGTCTAAATAGTCCACCACTAGCAGTGGTTTACCTACTTGCGAGTATTGTATTTTGTTGATGTTATAAAGATTACGATTTCATTTCCAACCTCTGTTTTGGTTATTCCTCATTCAGTAACCCTTTCTAGGTTACAACAG